TAATGTGCTTATCATCTGTACCCTAATCATCCTCGCATACCACATGAAGTAGTTTGTGCACTATAATCAGTTTGTCTAAGAATAAAGCTACTGGGGACCTCCAATTGTGGTAGGGTACAGAGGAAAGGGCAATGGCAGCAATCCCAAACTTAGTCCAAAAAGGACTAAGCTTTTGGGTCAGAGTACTATAAGTGACCAATGGAAAAAGGAGGGATCACTTGTCATCATATCCCAGTATTTCATCATGAGGCTGCTGGTAACTTAACCAAAATAGAGATACAACATTCGGTAAGCTTATTACAAAATATGGTGTTCCCATCATCTTTCTGGGATACCGCATACGGCTGTCAAGATGAGAACCTCTGGGAGACACATCCCCTCAATCAATCAAGTATTTATTGATCATCAACCATATGTTCAGCCTGACAGGTGAAATATAAGACATAATTCCTGCTCACCAAGAGCTTACAATCTGGCTGGAGACAGGACTCACACACAAGAAACAATGTAAGAACAAAACAAGAACTCACAGAATCACAGAGTCTGAGTCAGAGGGGTCATCTATAAATGAATCTCCCCGACAATATCCCTGACAGCAGTGGGCCTTGCATTCTGTTCAGTTCAATAAGCATAGCAAAGCACTTTATTAGGAGTTTGAACACCTCCAGCTGGAGTTCAGGAACTCAGTATCTAATTAAGGCAGCACTCATCCTATGTCCTTCTGCTTATCAAGATTTTCATATAAAGACAATTACAAAGCTCACTTTTTTCCTTTTTAAAGACCTTGAGGTTTGAATAGTAGGTAACTGCCTCAGGGAAGGGGTCTTTTGAATGAGCTGCCCTTCATTCAGAGTTACTAGCAATAAAAAGGGAAAGAGGAGAGCAGTGGCTTTAAATCACTACAGCATCCTGCATGTCATTTCCCTAAGCAGAGGTGAATCTAACAGTCTTTTGTAGAAGGGTCAACAGGGAGAAGAGCACAGAAACGGCACAAAAATACACAGATATACAAACATCATCTCAAAGACACAGTGGGACTCAACAGCAAGTGACGTAGTCCTCAAGTAATAAGGGAACAAAGTCAATTTGTCTGTATGTAGCAATAATGAAATTTTTTAAAAGCTATTTGAGATATTGCATAATCTATACACATGCATATAAAGCAAGAAATACACAACGCATTTATATTTTGTAGGATTATTTCATTTAAAGCAAGAAACATGTAAAAATAGTCATAAACAGGCTGTGGACTAAATTTTATCCACCAGGTCTTAAATGCCTCTTGGTGGAAGGGATAGGAAACCCTGGAATGAAAAGTATGTGCTGATTCCATTGTCACAACATTAATCCAAAGTTAAATGGAAGTTAGCGACCCAGGAGTGAAAAAAAGAATGGAAAAATACAAGTATTTAGTGTGTTTCCTAGAAACACTGGTAGGCAGGGAGGGGGTCTTAAGAAGGGATATATATGGTTCATGGTATGCATTTAACTGTTTATAAGTCAAAGATTAACATGGTTTAAATGGGAAAAAATACTAAATCTTTCCACAAAATTGGCCTAACAATAAAAGGGAAAAAAAGCAGCCAGACTTTTCAACACTGAGATAAGAATGTCCAAGGCCACAAAGGATAATTCAAATAATCACTGTATATTTCTTGGCAAGGAAATTCAGCAACTTACATACAACAGAAACTAAAGAAACTTCTTAAGTCTTGGTCTGGATTTAAAGACATTACCAAAATCCAGAAATGGGATCAAATGAAATTCCTGGGAATGTGATATAGAAGACTCTGGAGTACATAACCTCTACCTCCCCCAAAATTAACATATTAATTATAGAAAGTTAAAGACAGAAGGGCACTTCAAGACTGCCTCATCAAAACCCTTCCTTTTAGAGGTAGGGAAACACCCCAGAGAAGGGAAGTAACTTGACCAAAGTCACCCAATAGAAGGCAAAACACCCATCAGAGTCCCCACACTGGGCTGGACAGAGGAGCAGTCTGATTTAAGATGGCATTTCTGATATCCTTGGGAAGGAATTATTTTAACATTCAGAGTGGCTGTACCTGGCTGCTAGTACCTTATTTCAAATATAAATTGCCAAAAATGTATTTCCATAGAATCATGGAATGCTAGAAAAAGGGCTTTAGAGGTCATCTAATCTAATTCCCAATTTTACTGATAAGAAGAACAGGTATTTGAAGTGAAGGTAGAGACTGACTTTCCCAAGGTCACAGAGCAATTTCTTTCTACTGGAATGTAATTATACTAAGCTGGGAATATTATTAGTTCTGAGTTCTTAGAAATAGTATCTCCAAAACTGAAACAGACTATTTTTATTTCCAGTGGGATTGTGATGGCCCCAAGTCCTCCAGAGACTCATTCACAGAATCTCACTGAAGTTCAGTCTGAAGGATTTATGCCACCTAATAAACCTGTCAAGTCAGATGTTCCAAGCCCCTCTCTCCAGTTAAAAACCCAGAAAAGCAACAAGCCCTTAAGTCTCATTTAATCCCCACAATGAAAAAGTCTGTAGACATTGATTTGTGGTAACCTGAACACCTTACACATTTCCCCCTTCTATACTAAGCTCTATCTCTCTGGATCCTGTTACTACCGTGCAGAGATTCTGTATGGGGAGTGCTTTCTGAAAGATAAAATATAGGCTTGCACTACACTCAATTCTGTGCTACATAGAAAAAGCCTTTCGGTTCTATTGTTTTCCTTTAGGGGTTCTTCACACTACATAAAGGGCACAGAGTAAAACCTCGATTAACCGGAATGCACAAGGAGTTTGGGCTGTTCCAATTAAATGAATTTCCAAATTCAATGAGCAACCTTTGGTTTTAACCAACCCCCGTGGAAAATCTGTCTAAAAGTCCACTTTTTTTGCCTACATAAAAATATAGCCTGCTGGATATAACTGAATCCTTCTCTGATGATTTAAGATCTCACAGAGCCTCAGGGACACCAAAATGACATCAGTTATCACTATACAGTGCTGTAGATGTAGATGGTAAAGGAGATTGGGCTGAATCAGTGCAAACTCCAGGATATCCCCTGGGATTTTCTATCTTGACTATATCCCTGATCTCAGTTTGTTTGTTTGCCATCTGCCTCTGTCGCATAAAAATAGCATGCAGCATATGCAACTGCATAATTTCCTGGTTTGTAAAACACGGTTGCTTTTCTGCAAAACTAATAATCGAATCAAAGGATGAAGCAGCTTTTTCCCAAGATGTTTTCTCCCCTTCCCTAAAATCTTCTCCATCACTGTCTTTTTCAGAATCAGTTCCATTGTCAGGATTCCAAACAGTTTCTACTATTTCTGTGTCACTAACACCCTGTGACACTTCACCTTCTTGGTCGGCATCAACCCACTCATCTCCTTCACTTTTATTCAGTTTGTTGACTGGGGGTGAAGAAGGATCCTTCACCATTTCAAGAATCTGCACCAGCGTGTTATTTGGAGGCCTTACTCTAAATCGGTCAAATTCTTCTTCATCAGAAGATACTTCTGCAAACATAACACTAGGCCACAGTTTTCTCCATGCCCGCCTTAGTATTTCACTAGTAACAGAATTCCAGGCACAAGCAACATTAAAAATGGCATCACTTATGTTGTAACGAGTTTGAAGGTCTTGTACAGTGACTGGAGGATTGATGAAATTTCTCATGAAATCTCTTCTAATGCCCTGGTCCATAGGCTGAATCAACGAGGTAACACTGGCAGGCAGGAAGATGGTAAAAATGTTATCAGAGACTAACTCTGCTTCCTGAGGGTGGGCTCGAGAATTGTCTAGCAGAAGAATGGCTTTGCTGTCATCAGGTAAGCCTATATTTCTAAAATGATCTTTGACTGAAGGTACAAAAATATGATGAAACCAATCAGAAAAAATTTCTTTGTCCATCCATGCATTACCCTGTGCCTTGTACGCAACAGGTAAATGCTGAATTCCTTTGAAAGTCCTGGGACCATTGCACTTTCCAATCACCAAAGGTTTGATTTTGTGGGAGCCAGCAGCATTAGCACACATGAGAACAGTCAATCTGTCCTTGGTCTGCTTCAGACCTGAGGCACTGGCCCCTTCGGGAGTCGAATTTGGCAGGCAACGCCAAAACAGGCCAGTTTCATCAGCATTGTAAAACTGCTCAGGGGACAAACCATGCTCGGCAATTAAACTTCGGAAAAACCCACAAAACTGCTCTGCCGCCTGGTGGTCTGCTGACTGTCTTTCGTTGGAAACATCTAGCTTTTTGATGCCATGTCGTGCCTTAAACCTCCAAAGCCACCCTCCAGAAAAAACACATGGCTCAGTTAACTGCATCTGCTCATAAAAATCTTTAGCCTTCTCAATGAGCATTGGGCCCGAGACAGGGACTCCCTCTGACCGTTTCACCAAGAACCACTCATACAAAACCCGATCTAAATGCTCTAGCTTAGGGGTGTGCAGTGTGCGGCGGTGTTCGAGGGCTTTGTTAGAATCCGAATTAGCAAAAAACCGCAGCAGCTGTCCCTTATGGGCCTTGATGTCATATAAGGTAGACATGCCAACATTGTACTCTTGCATCAAAGCTTTCCTGTTCTCGCCCTTTTCAAGACGGGTACAGATATCAATTTTCTCCTTTAGGGTCAGTACAACTCTCTTACGCTTCTCTCCTTTGTTCTTCACTACAGGCTGTTTGGAAGCCATGGGACTGGATGGCTTCTACACACTGTGACTTACAGAGGAACAGAGGTGTATGCTATCCTTGTGCACAGTACTGATTTGGCTTTTCTCCTCTCACCTCACTGCCCTCCTCTCTCTTTCACTTTGCTTGAGGTTTCCTCTACTTCCTTTTAATTTTCCTCTCACAGCTCCCACCCACACCGCCTTTCTCCCAAGGTTCTTGGCTACCTCTCCACTTCACCAGTATTTGGTCTCCCCTTCTTGCCCTGTCCTTATTCCCATTTCCCACCAGTTTTCCTTCCTTCTCCTCCCACTGCCCAAGATCCCCACCCGTTTGCCTCAGCTTCCCCCGTCTTCTGCACTCAAGTGCTCACAGAAATCCACTTTTTTAGCAACTTGTTCAGTTCCCAGACCACATGCAGAGCTTCTCTGACTTGGGGAGGCAGATCTTCTCAGTCGACGAAGCAACCAATCACAGAACACTGCTTTGAACTTCAAGGCTTCTTGGTGGTTGGGGGCAGCTCTCCCTGCCTTCCGCCTGCAGCTTCCTTCCACCCTCACAAAAATACCGGTTAGCTGGGTTCCGGTTAATCAAGGTTTTACTGTCTAAGTTGTGGGTGGCTTTCTCCAGTGTCCACAATGCTGTTTTACAAGCACAGAACGTTATGAACTGGAAAGCAGAGGGGGAAAAAAAAGAAAAAAAAAATGTTATGGAAAGTTTGCCCAGAATATTTGAACACTGGAATTAGAGTCAGAAGACCTGGGTTCTAATCCTGAGTTTGCCAGTTGCTAGCCATGTAAGTGAAATGGAGATCATATAAGACCTAGGACAATTTACACATTCCTTAAGGCTCAGTTTCCTCATCTGTAAAGGTAATAACACTTCCATTAGCTACTGAACAGGAGTATTGCAAGGATCAAATGAGGTGGTTTGTAAAAATCTTTGAAAACTATATTAGCTGTGATTATTTAGAAACATCAGCTATCATCATTATTATTTGTATGCATACCCATCCTCTGTTTTTATAAACTAGAATGGATCACCTAAAAAGAACAGGTTAAAAGATCAAGGATTGCAGCTCCAATGGGGAACCAATGCAATCTGCAAGAAACGTCTGACAAATTGAGAAACATTAAGGTAAAGGAAACTAAGTTGTCTATATAGCAGGCTTTATACAAATTGAACAACGTTCAAAGTTGCTCATATTTTGCAGAGAAGGAAAACAAGGCCCAGGGAAGTTGAGGGTCCCAAGATCCCACAGTAAGTGGCATACCTAGAACAAGAACTCAGGATTCCTGACGCCAGTCCAGTGTTTTGTTTTGTTTTTTTTCCCCACACACCAGGCTACCTCCCCAAGGAATCAAATTCTAAGTGACAAGGTGTTCTAAATGTGCACTTTGGTATTAACCCCTCCATGGGAAAACTGTGAAGGTATAAAGTGAGTATGAAAAAGAGGTACGGACTATTATGCTTTCACCTAAGCACAAACTTCTCCCCTTCCTGAAATCCTGTCTAGTTGTTTTCAATGCTAATCTTTGGCATAGCCAACTTGGCCTTCTAGAGAAGGGGTTTTATGCAATTTAGTAACTATTCAATGAGCCCTGATTACGTACATAGGTCCATCCTAGAGGCTGGATCATTGAGCTTTGCTCTTCCTGAAACTGTCTTGGCAGACCAAGACCCTGCAGGGTTCCCCATCTACCCCACTATCACCTCAAAAACACAAACCACCATATCAGTGAGGAATGAAACCAACTTTAAAGTAGCACCAAGGAGCAAATCATACTAACGTAAAGGCCTTGAGGAAGGCCCAGGAAGCCATCCCCGAGCAACCTTCCTCCTCAAGCTGTCCAGGAGTTAAGGATTTGACTGCATAATATCACCTAACACCCTGCAGCAGCTTCACATACTAAGGCTTCTCTATTCAACCAGCCTGTGAGATAACTACTTATGTATATACAGCACCTTATGGTGACTAAGTATATTCACATATATGGTCATATTTGATTCTCATCACAACCCTGTGAGGGAGATAGGGCAGCTCTTACTCTCCCCACATGACAGGGAAGGAAATAATGACAGAGGGAAATAATATGCCCGATCACATAGCTAACAGGGCAGGGGGAATGTCATGGTGGGAAGACACTCTTCCTCATAATTCTGTCTAATGAAATCCTCCTTTTTGTTCCAGCCCCAATTGAGAGGCTATTTCTTCCAGAATTTCTTCCATAATTCCTGCAGTCAGAAGTGATCCAACACCTTGTTTTATGACTGTTTTACTTCTCTATCACACCTGGAATTAGCTGTTTGCATAATGTCTTAACTGGTGAGTAGAATGCAAATTCCTTTACTAAAGGGACCACTCTGTAGTTGTTTTTTTTTTTTTAATCTCCAGCATAACTAACAAAGTGCCTGGTTTAGCCAAGTGCCATTGGATTGTGTGCTCCTTGAGGGCAGGGACTGTCTTTTGCCTCTTTTTGTATCCTCACCACTTAGCACAGTACCTGGCACATAGCAGGCACTTCATAAATGTTTATTGACTGATTGAGCACATGTTTATTGAACGTGTTTGGAACTTAATCTTTACTGAAAGAAATTGCTTATGATCTAGTTACCATTTTGAACATCAATTACTTGTCCTGTTTAGGCCTTCATCACTTCTCAACTACACTATTATTACAACCTTCTCTTTTCCTCTCTAAATAATCTTTCATAAAGATGACCAAACATGCTCAAAATATCGAAATATGTCACTCCTCTGCTCAAATAGAATGGAAAACAAACAACTTTGCCTAGTGTTTAGGACCCACCAAACTACCTGACTCCAATCTTCGGGGAGAGAGCTAACATGAAAGATCCTGACAGGGATAAATATAAAGTTTATATTTATAATATAAATTAATAATTGGGGTTCAAAAAGTCAACTTCTCAAATACAGAAAAAGGAGGCTTGGCTAGACAGTTCATCTGACAATGATCCAAGGATGTAGTAGACTGTTACACTTAATTTAAGCCAACAGTGTGATATGACACAGCCAAAAATAGCTAATGGGATCTTAGGCTATATTCAAAAACTAAGGATGTTATAGTTCAGCTGTATGTACTCTGCCTTATGTCAGAATACATTTAGAGTACTGTGTTCTGTCTGGGCGCCTCATTTTAAAAAGGGCATTGACAAGTTGAAGAGCATCCAGAGGAAGACAGCCAGGTTGATAAAAGGCCTTGAGATCAGGCAGCATGGCACAATGTATTCAGTTCAAATCCTAGATCTACCAATTACAAACTGTATGACCTTGGGCAAGTCATTTAACCTCTTTGACCCTCAGTTTCCCCATATGTAAAATGAGTTTATTAGGTGGCCACTGAGCTGTCTCTTCCAGCTGACTCTAAGATCCTATATCACATGGGGGTATTCACCCTGGAAAAACGATAACTTAGTAGACACAGACAACCATCTTCAAATATCAGAAGGGACATCACATGGAAGGCAGATTAGACTTGTTTTGCTTGGCCCCAGGAGCCAGTACTGGGACCAAAGGGGGAAAAGTTGCAGAGGTAGATTTAGGCTGGAAAGAAGGAATATCAAACAATCAGACATCCAAAGATGGGTTCTAATTTACAAGAGGACTTCAAATAGAGGCTGCATGACAACCAACCACTTGCTAGGGATATCACTGAAGAGACTCATCTTTAGGCACAGGTTGAACCAGATGGCCTCTAAGGCACTTCCTAATCCTAAAATTCTGTGCCACCATCTCAAGCTTATTCCATACTCTTCCTTCATATGTGCTATGTCGCATCCAAAATGTGCTACTCAATGTTCCCCAAGCTCATCATGCCCTCTCGTGCCTCCATGTTTTCAGGCAGGGCATCCAATCAACAAGGATTCTCCATCTCAAGGGGTCTTCAAGCAGAGACTACATGACTACGTATCAGACACATCATAGAATGGATTTCTGCACATGGTCAAGCTGGAATGGATGACCTCTCTACAACCTGATTAAAAATATAGCTATGGTGCAGCAGGGGGAAAAAAACAACTGAATTATCCCAAACCTCCTTCTTCATCTCTACTAAATCCTTTTATTCTTTCAGGGCCTTCCTCCATGTGGTTTGCCCTGATGCCCAAGCTGAAAGTGATCTCTCTCTCTTTCTTCAAACTTTCTTAGAACACTATATTTCTCCTTTATCCCAATCACATTCTGTCTTTTATTATATTTATTTGTGGATGGCTGGTATACCCAATTTTTATAATAAGTTCTCTGAAGGCAGAGAGTGTAGAATTTAATCTAAATGTTGTGCCTTGGAACACAATGCTCCGCACACAAAGGTGCTTAGTAATCATTTGTTAAATTTATTGTTCTGTGCTATAGTACAATAGCCCTCAACTCTGAAATTCTACAACTTGATTCCAGATGCAGCTGTGGTATAGCAGAAAGCACACTAAACTACTATAACGGTCATTTTTATAATGTTTTAAAATTTGCATTGTATTTTCCTTACAAGAGGAAGCAAGTAATATTATTATGACCATTTTACAAATAAGAAAACTAAGGCTTAGAGGGATTTAGTAGCTTGTCCAAGATTACTCAGGGAAGTGTCAGAGCCAGGTCTGAACACAGGCCTCCTGACTCCAAGCCCAATGTTCTTCCCACTGTGATACAGCATCTCAAATGCAGCATCAGAAGAACAGCATCATTAAATTTGCAGAAATCAGGAGAAGAGAGCTGTAATTCTTGATGTATCACCAGCTGGCTGTGTGACTCTGGGCAAGTAACACTCTCTGGCTCTCAACTTCTACATTTGCAAAATGAGGCCACTGGACCACGTAATTAAAGGCCTACAGTGCTGTCTTACACATGATTCCAGATGTCAATACCCAGTGGTTTGGAAGATGATGACAACACATCTCTCCTATGGAGTCAAGTCCCTAGGTTTTGTAACAGCTTTTCTTCTCAATGCTCAGAGGTCCTTTTGTGTTTCCAGGTTTTGGGTTCCAGCTCTGGTTAAGACTGACACAAGTGTGAATGGCAGGTAAGTAAATTATAAGATTCTAGACTTCAGAAAAATCATTTCTCTAGCAAAATCATTCTTCAAAAGCACCAAGTGTTCCAAAATCAACCAACCAACCAACAAGATTTTACTGAACTGTGCTGCATGACCAGTCCTGTGCCAGGCCCTGGAGAGGGCATTGTAAAACAATAAAATGCTAGTTTGTTTGGGACAAACAGTAAGTACTCTTAATAGTTCAGAAAAGAGAAAGTATCAGGGAAGGATTCTGATAGTGGGATTTGATGGGAAGATATGAATGGTTATTTTAAGTTTTATTTGGTTGGAAGAGGTAGCATAGAAAAAAGAATCTTACCTCAACGTAAATAAAAGAAATACTGTGCCTTGGGGGTAGCAGCTGGTAT